AAAATAAATGTAATCGTTAAGAATTATCTAAATTCCAATTCAAATTATATCACAATTTCTTTTCGAATCCTTCCCTTTTCCCCCTTCATTTCTCTTATCCGCTCTCGGTCCGTCCGCGATAAAGAGATTCAGTTCTCTGATCGAAAAAGGACCACTCGTCGTACGTCGATACACGTGTAAAGCGACCTTTCTGGTCGCTGACTCGTAACTCGACCTGCTAGTACGATCGAGGCCTTACGTCGTGTTGCGTTCTCTACCAGGACGTAACATCCCGACGTAACAGCTTCTTTACATAGAATAAAATTCCGTAATTAAAAATAAAATGTTTCTATTTAAAAAGCAAAATTGACCTTCGAATAACTTTCAAAAGGACCTCGAAAGCCAAAATCAAGGTCACTTTCAGATGTCCCCCTCTAAAGCCGATAACTTTTGTCTGAAACATTTTTGCTAAATATGCTGTGCTGAAGAAATATCACAGTGGATAATTTAAAATGGGACACTCTGTACTTCAAATATTCGACAATTTCCATTAAAACTCGAGACAAACATTTTCATTGACCTAATACAATAGAGAGGAGGTTAAATATTAAAATAATGTTACCCAAAAATTCATTGATAATTCTAGATGATAAGAGGATATACAGGGTTTCCAAGATTTGTCTCCGCAACGTTCGTAGAAACGTACATCGGTTTGAGATGAACTTGAAAGTTCCATACTGTTTTGTGATGTTTATATTAAATCTTGAAATACTCATTCTGGAAGATTGAAGATTGATTACACGCAATGGACAGGTGGGTTATTGTAAAAATGTAAGCTATCATATGTTTGTACATTTAATCAAATTGAGCAAAAAATTTATTATTTTGCAAATTACTACCTAAAGTTTTAGTTATTTATAAAAAAGATCGTTGTGTATTTGCCCAGATAATAGCACGAAATCTTCAGAGAATGTCCTAGGATATTCTGAAGATGTATGATTGCCCGTCTAGAAACACATTAGAACGTCTTTTGAAGATTTGTGCTGTATGAGTGTATGCGATCATGCACTAATGTTCTTTGATTATTGTCTAAAAGTCCATGTGGTCAGTTGCAAAATGATAGAGGACTTTTATGTTCAATTTGAATTAACATATAAAGTATAAAATGGCAGACGGCGCCACAACTCATTTAACATATCGGGTATGATCAATCACCAATTTCTTTAATTAATATTTACATACTTTTTGCGAATATCACAAAACGGTATAGGACAATTATGTTCTTCTCAGTATGTTCTTTGTTGCAATAATCTTCCATGAAATTTTGTGAGGATCAATCAGTGACATACTGTATGTTGGAATATGCGACGACGCGTGTGCTAAATTTTCCCTCGGTTCTTGCAAGGATTTTTTTGTATATAATGAATTTTACTAAATTTAAAGAAGTTTGTCTATTAGAATAGTCCAAATAAACAAATTTTTAACCAGGCAAATACTATTGATCGACATTACGAACAATTCAATTATATGATCCATGAAAGAAGATAATTTTATATAATTTTCTTTTTTTGCAAAAATGATTCAGTAATACTGTTCAAATAATTCTAAGAAACTTAATTTTCTTTTCTCGTGTTACCGTGATAATCTGTCATTGTTGTTACATCACCGTATGTGGCCTTCCGAAACCGTGATATTTTATATAAATATTCCTTCATTCGGTGATCGGTACGAATACACATCTTTCTTACTGATCACGGTCTAGATTATTTGACTTTAACAAATGTGTAGAAATTAGAAATGCCAATTAGCTCCAACTGGTTGGCAGTTGCACTGAGTAAAATACTTGAAAATGTATTTGTGGTATATAAAATTTTTGTGAAATAAAATTTATTTCTATATACTTGTCCCCCTCATTGCATTTTATCTCCAACAAATGAATATTAAAATATATTAGATTTGGTTTCCGGGTTTGAGCCACGTGAATTCATCTTTGTTTGATTCAGACGTTACACGAACATTTCACTCCGTTTCATCAGGGAAGAACAACCTGATACCGAGTTGCTCCAGAGAGATCTTCCTTTATATAGCAGTATTTATATAGTAGTAGGCATAGGAAGAGAGGGAGGGAAGAGCCAGGAAGGTAAGAGTTCTGAGGGTATAGGTAGTCAGAAATTTGTTGTCTGTAATGTTTTGGAAATCGGGAGAATGGATTGCCAGATTGGACTAATTTTTTGTCCATTATTCTTGTTGAGATTGTTGGGGTGCTCTATATTTCCCCTGTATTTCCTAGGAAAGAAGTTGTTGGTTTTGGCCAATACTGTTATTTCGTTGAACAATATTTTTCATCCGCTTTCTAGATTGTGTTTCGCTAGTGCTGCGTTACATTTTTCAGTTTGACTGCGCTTTAATGTTCCTTTATACATGTGCTTAGCATCCCACCGGTTTCTCCTATATAGACTTTGCCACAGGAGCAGGGGACTCTACAGTGTGTAAAAATAATACCGACAAACTTTGAGGGGAAATAGAGGACATAAAAACAAACATATTTTGTTAATAATGTTTTTCTTTACGTCGCTTTGTTTTAATACTAGGTACAAAATAGATACAAAATAGGAATTTTATGATTTTAACAAAAAACGAACATATAATTTAAAAAATTAAATTTATTTCAATTACGCATATATATTTTAATCTTTAACAAACAATGAACAAAAGAATAGGACAAAAATGTGCAATTGATTAGTTCAATTTATAATAAATATTCAAAAATTCCTTCATGTGCTACAACACAAAAGGTGACATTGTCGAAACATAGATTGTCACACACGTTCAAAGAATGCAGGAATATTCTGAACCTGATATGCTACAGCAGTAATTTGGGCTACCAATTCTGTTTCTGTTGCAATAGGTGTCTCATAAATGAAAGTTTTTATATGCCTTCATCAAAGTGTTCCGGTGGAACAGGAAAGATTCTATCTGATTGTTTATTTGTTCCTTAGATATTTTGGTTAGAGTCATTGCAAAATTTGATACTTTGTGTAGGGTGGAAATGGTTTCTGTGAAAAAGGCTTTGTTGGATAGATTTTTTACTGTGTTTGGTGGAGGAAATATAACTGCTTTTTGTGATGTTAGTTTGTGAGACTTTTCTATCGTCGAGATGACTGTACGTAAGTGTTTTGCGATTGTTTGTACTTTGTATGTGGTCCAGTGTGAACCATAAGTCCAGTCAAAAGGTCGAGGCTAAGGGAAGATGGAGTTGGAAAAGCTTATAGGAGATTTTACTAACGATTATCTTTGTGTATGAGATGCGCTTTTTTACTAGCATAGCTGCGGTTTTCAACAGAATAATGTTCGACTTCTTCGTACCGAGATGGTTTTTTAGTTATTGGAACTTTGAGACAACGTTATTGTCCCTGCATCTTTTTAGAAATATTAGGGTAGGAAGGTGTTTTGGTAAAGATAGCGTAAATTTCTTAAAGAAGTTGATTTTACCAAGAACACACTCTCCATAAAAGTACATGATTTGATTTTATAGGCTTTCGCGGTTACCATGCATATTAGATTTGGTTTCCGGATTTGAACCGCATGGAATCCTCTTTGTTTGATTCCGATGTTTCGCGAACATTTCAGTCCGCTGCATTAGGGACGAACGATCCGATGCCGAGTTGCTCCTGAGAGATCTTCCTTTATATGGTAGTTAGCATATGGGGAGAAGGGTGAGGAGACAAGAGGGAAAGGAGGTTAGCAGGAAAGATGGTGGTGGGAAATTTGTTGTCTGTCATGTTTTGGAAACCGGGAGGCCGGATTGCCAGATTGGATTGATTTTTGGTCCATTATCTTTGTTGAGATTGTTGGAGTATATAGAGTACCCTGTTGCTGTGACAAAGTCTATATAGAAGAAACCTGGAGAATGGTGAGCACACATATAAAGAAACATCAAATCGCAGTCAAACTGAAAAATGTAACGCAGTCAGCATTAGTGCAACACAATTTAGAAAGTGGACACAAAATCCGTTTCAACGAAATAACCGTACTGGTCAAAACCAACAACTACTTCCCTACGAAATACAGGGGACCCTGTAATTGGAAATTTGAAAGCACCAATCTGAACAGGGATAATGGACAAAAAATCAGTCCAATCTGGAAACCCGTCCTCCTAGTTAAACCCCCCTT